CAGCGCTGTAATTAAATAATCCCTTTGTAGTCATGGAAACATTGTCTCTGTGTCCTCTCCCACTCGCTGCTTTTCTGCCAAAAGTTCCAGGCGTTGATTTGGTTCTGACAGCCCTTCGGTAGCTCTGAGCATCCTTTCTCTGCTGAGCGGCGTGGGAGAGGAGAGCTGGGTCCTGGCGGAGCTGCTGTACCTGTCAGGGGGATTCCTGCTCACCCGCTCCTCGCCTGGGTGCGCACCTTCGTCTGCTGCAGGGACTAATGGCTTAGTCCCTGATGGAGCTGCTGTTCCGCTCAGCAGCTCTCAGGGATGCTCCTAACGTTTTTCCCTTGAAATGCTCCCCCTTTGCCTTCTGCCCATGTCCCGGCTGCTGCCCGGTGCGATGCACTGGCTGCATCCCGCTCGCTGCCAGCATCATCCGTAGCATGTCTGAGGTCTCCACCGGCTCTGCTCGAGTCCAGAATAACCATTTCCAGGTAGGACTTGTCACACAGCGTGGGGCAGGTTGGACCCACAGCTCTGGCTCAGCAGTTTTTTCCTGGGCAGAAATGTTCTCCCAGGAGGACTCCAGGTTTGAAGGGTTCTGGCAGGGAGGAGAAGCAGCGGGAAGAAGAGTCTGTCAAACTTTTTCCAAGCCTCTGGGAAAGTTTGACTTTCTTTTCCCCAGCTCTGTCGCCCTGACACGTTAGCAGCTGGAACTGATGAGCCCTTGCTCCTTCCCACACTTTGCCGTGTCTCCCGCAGCAGCACCAAGTGGTGTTTTTTCATGAATGAAAGGAAGAGGAAAATCTCATTGGAAAGTTCATCAACTTTGGGCTGCTGCTCACTGAGTGATAGATAGCTTTAATTACATTGAACTAGTTGGCATCTCTACTGCACTCCCCAAAGTCATTAAAAATAGATTTTCTGTTTGAACTCCAGCCCCCCCAGGGCTCTGCAGGCAGCGTGCATGGCGGGGGGATGCCCGGGGGGCTGGCTCCAGCCAGGGGGGTCAGAGGCCTCTGCTGGTGGCAGCATAAGCTGTGGAAACTTTGCTTTGTTTGTTTATTTTCTGTATTTATTTATTTGGAACTGGATTCTTGCACTTATTTTCTTTTCTCTGGGGGCTGACAGAGTTTGTGTTCATGTGTCTTGGAGAGTCTGTATTGATTTTTTTTTTTTAATGTCAAGGAAAGCAAGGAGACTTTATCATTTAATTATTGAGAAGCAGGTTCATAAATAGGGAACTGAAAAACTCAGCAGCAGAGTTTTGGCGTGGACAGAAGGAAGAGAGGCAGCGATGGGGCTCGGGGGAGGAGGAGGGCTCAGCCCTGGGGAGTGGGGAGGTTCCCTGGGGTGATGGTTTCTTGGCTCTTGTCCTTCACGCAGATGCTCCTCGGCTCTGCTGAACTGCGTTATCGCTTTGCATTTGCTGTGACCACGCTGATGTGGAGTGCCTGACACCTTTTCTTATCCCCAAAGTGACCCGCTGCCTGCTTCAGCAGTGGTGTCGGTACCTCCCTGGTGTCCCCAGGGCAGCAGCATCCATCCTGCAGGCGAGGAGGTGTGGGATTTGAGGCTGTGTTTGGAAAATCCCTGCATGCCTCCGCTTGGCTTCAGGACCTCTCTCCTCATGTTTCTGGTGCCGGACCAGAAATCTCAAGGTGTCCAAAACTGGCATCCACTGTCAAAAGCTCTGTGCTGTGAGCTCTGCCGGTGACCATCGGAGCAGGGCTGGGCAGGCGGGACCCAGCGGTGGCCACGGTTTGGGGTTACGGAGGGGTGCCTGATGACTGCGCCCGCTCCTGTCCCACTCTGTGCCTTTGGAAAACGGGAAATCTGCAGAGCCGGCCCCGCACAGCCCGCGGGCAGGATGTCTCCTTTTCTGTTCCTCGTCCTCCCGCCCCAGCGCAGCGGTTCACACGCACAAATGCTTTGGTCTCCCAGCGATAATTAGGCTGGCAGAGAGCAGTTTAAAAATACATAAAGCCAAGAGAGTGTTTCCAACCTGCTGTCAGGAAGAGTTGAGGGCATCTGAGCTTGACTTCTGCACTGTCTGTGGGGGAAATATAGTTTTCAGATATATAGTTTCAGTGTTGGTGATGGGTATTGGATATATCCTGCTCTTAATGGGATTTCTCATGTTTTCCATTGAAATGAAACATGTTCTTTAGAGGGTTGGAGTATATTTGGATCATGGATGGTAAGAGTGGTCGGTTATACGTTAGTACTGTGAGAGCTGGGCAAGTGCTGCAAAACCCTCCAACCTTTTCCATGCATGCAAACATTTAAATACCTGCTGCTCATAAATTTAAACATTGAATTGGGTATTGGAGCAATGTGGCATTTCTGGCATTAATTTTTTGTAAAGGATGAATTTCAAAGCCCTGGGCATGAGTGTTGGAGAGAAGCAGACGGTTTGTTTTCCCCCAGAGCCTTAGACCTTCCTCCAGCCAGGGACCACGGGGCGTATCTGAGTGATGAAGGATACAGGAGGGCTGACCCATCAGCACCCTTGGGGCTCTGCTGCCCGACTGCTGGGCTTGGTGGGACCAGGTCCCCAGCTCAGGCAGTGCCACCCCAGCCACACACCTCTGCCAGCCTGGCTTTAGGCACTGGACTGTCTGCTGTGCATTATACAGGGATTACAGGGAGAGGATCAAATGGTCCCATTTGGGCTAGAAATCTGCCACTCCAGGAATTGTTCAAAACGTCTGCGTGATTTGTACAGAATTATCATGTGCAGAAGCCACCGCCTCTGAGCAGAAAAAGAACCCAAATGCCTAACGTAAAATCATCTGTAATGAACTGTTATTCATTTAATTCAAATCCTCCGTTATTTATAGAGTGCTGCGAGAGCACCCAGCTCCTCACAAACACGAAACAAACCCTGAGCTGCATACAAATCACAGGGACAGATCCTGCCAAGCCTCACGTCGTGGGGAAGAGGCAGAGGATCAGCAATGCCCAGTGATTTTGGGGTGGGTGAGAGCCATCCCACCAACATGGCCCAACACGCTGGGCAGATTTTTGGGGAAACCCAGTGACCAACCTCAGCGCATCCTGGGATGGCTGGTGACTCCCACGGGGGCTGCCGAGAGCCGCTGCAGCTCCTACGGGATGCTCGTTTGGTTTGAAGAATGTGCATTTGCTCCCAGGTGTGCATCCAGGAGCAGCACGATGTCAGCATCTCTGGGCTTGGGAAATGTGGGATCGCGGCCAGCGCTGGGGTGGGTGCAGGGCATGGGAGCATGGACCGGCCACCCCGGGGGTCTGTGCCTGCCACCGGGCTGGGGGCTTCTGCAACCTTGGGGTGTCTGTGAAGTGCTTTGGAGTCCTTAGAGGGAAGGAGCAAAGTGGGTAAAAGCGTGTCACATGCAGCCACCTGAGGTGCAGACGAGACCCCAGGAGGGCACCCGGGATGCTTTTTGCAGCCAGGAATGAAACCCAAGCCCTTTCTTTCTACCTCGGTGCTATTCCCTCACCCTGCATTTCTCTTCTTCACTTCTGAAGCTCTTTACAGCGTCGCAGGCTAAATGCACACCCAGCGTACCTGTCCATTTGTGAAGCTCTGTATTACAGCCGTTGCAGGCTAAATGCACACCCAGCGTACCTGGCCTTGCCCCTCGCACCCCCTTGGTTCCAGCTCCAGGGCTGCGCTTTGCTCTTAGCTCACCCCAGGCTGAGCCCTGCGCCCTTCCCACGGGGCTTCATCTCCTCGAAATAAATCCCCAACCCCGCGCATCTCCACGCAATTCTTGTTTTAGGGAAAGCTGTTGAGTAGGGCTGAGGAAACAAGAAGAATAGCAGCCCTATTGGTGTCGTGTTTAGAGAGGAACTGGGTTCTCACTGTGTCAACAGCACTTGGCGTGAAAGTGGCCGTTGTTTGGCGAGACACTGCGCCTTTCACCCCCCGCGCCCCAGCTGCTGGGAGCCGGGCGCTGTTTTGACGGACAGAGCGAGTGCGATGCCGACAGTTGGTTTAATTTTCAGCCAGTTGCAGGCATCGCTCCTGGGGTCCGAGGGGAGCAGCAGGCGCTGCGGGGTGGCTGTGCTGGGCACGGCAATAATTATTGACAGTATTTGATAATAGAAATGTAAATGCATCAAAGAGGGACCGGCCCCGGCAGGAGCATCACGCTGCGGTGTCGGGACAGGAGATGCAAACGCACCGTGCCGGTTGGAGGTGACAAGGGATGGGTTGGAAAGGTTAAAGTGGGATTGCTTCATTGCAGTCGAGCAATGACCCGTGGTTAAAGCTTGGTGGTATTTTGGAGCCTTTGGGGTTTTCGGTGTTGATAAAGGATCAGGACCGTGCTGCACCCCAGCGCTGTGCAGGGACCTTTCGCAGGTGGGATATGTGCAGGAGGGGGGTTGCGGCACCGATCTGTGGTGTTCCCTTGGCACTTCCCTCCCCTGCTCTGGCATCTCTCACCTGGGACAGATGGGCAGCCCCGGGGGGGGGTCATGCCATGGGGGGCCAAAGTCCTCGCTGGTGCTGGGAGGGCTCAGGGAGCTGAGGAGCAGTGAAATGCCCACCCAGGCTAAATAAGCTGCCAACCTGCAAACTCCCAGTGAGTTTTATTCCCTGCCAGCTTTCCTCCCTGAAGCAGCTTCCCCATGGCAAGTGTAAGACAGCAAACTGTAAATCAGGGGGGAGAGGACGCAGCTCTCGCCCCCGGGAGCGTCTCTGGGCAGGAGGTCAGGAGGGTCCTAGCAAGCTGGCGCCAGCGCCGGGGGGCTGCGGGCTGCACCCGTGATTCACAGCATGGCTGTGCCCGAGGGATGGGGTGGCTTCGTGACTCTGTCCCCAATATTTCCTAGTCTTGGCTGACTTCTGCATGGATGCTGGAACAAATTAATTTAAGTTTGTGAATCATTGTTGCGTTACTCGACTCAAATGGGCGAAGCAGGACCTGGAGCTGCTCTCATCTCGCCATCCCGCTGTGCGGAGAGGAGCACTGAGCCCATGTGGTTGCTGAGCCCGTGTGGTTGCTGAGCCCGTGCCTTTGCTTCCTCTGCAGGTGTCGCGGGTGCCCGTGGAGTCCTGCGAGCAGTACCCGACCTGCGGCGAGTGCCTGAGCTCGGGAGACCCCCACTGCGGCTGGTGCACGCTCCACCACATGTAAGTCCAGCCTTGGCCAGTTTGTTTGAGCTGCTGGTGGCGATGGTAAAAGCAGCTTTTGAAACCACCAAGTGCCTCCCATGAAATCTTTGCGAAAGTGAATTAGGTTGAAGTTCCTTAAATCCATCCTTACCTTCCCTGGCCATTCCCTGCATAGCAGTGTGAATGCCATTGAAAATCCCTGAGCGCCTGTAAAGAGGTGAAGGAAAAGGAATTCCTGCTTTAGGAGAGGTGAGTTGCTGTGCCATGGACATGAGGGGAAAGCAGAATTTAAACCGGTGGGAATGGAGCCTTGCATTTTGCACGCTCGCTTGCCCAAGCCATGAGTCCTTCCCAGTTAATGGGGAGTTTTTAGAGGCAAGAGTAGATTTGATTGTATGCCTGGGACTTTGCTTCCAGTGAGGTTACAGCACTGGAACAGAGCAGAGCCCCAGGCCCTATTAACTGTCTCTGGAAGAGATATTTAAATCCTGCAAGGGAAGGTCAGAGGGTCTGTGCTCCAGCCATCCCGATGGGGCAGAGCCGGCAGCATGGGGCTGGGGGCTGGCAGCCCCCCACGCACATCAGCAGACACAAAGGACTAAGGGTTGGTTTTATTTCAGGAGAGCTCCAGGAAATGCTCTCTGCATTCAGGAGGTGTTTGTGTCCTTCCTTTCCCTCCCCTGCCACAAGCACGATCGCTTCCTAAGGCGGAAGGGGGACCACCAGGCAAGGCAGATCAGGGGAGGGGGGAAAGCCTGGAGGAGAGGAATAGCAGTCCCTCCGGCTGCGTGCCAGCTCGCAGAGCATCCCCGGTAAATGCATGGAAATGGGGCAGAGGCAGAGTTCGGGGACCCGCAGCAGCACTTGGCCACTTGCCTGAGCAGCAGGTGCTGGACGGGGAGCAGGCAACGGCAGGCTCCTGCACAAATCCGGCCTGGATTTGGGACCTGTGGACTTTGGGGTGCAAACTGCCTCCCCATGGCTTGCTTGGTTTGCAGGGTTGTTGCTGCGCTTGGGGAGATGCAGGAGGACCATCGCAGCCGCTGGCTCTGAGCATCCCGCAGGCTCCACGCAGGCAGGGGCTGGGGATAGCAGGGCAGGGCACAGGTGCCCTGGGCATGTGGGGTTTTTTTAGCTTTTTTCCTTTCAGATGAGCCTGTCCAGCCCTATAGCTAAGCCACGATATGTGCAGTTGTGTCCGAAAGCCTTCAGTGTCACAGCGGCTTTGTCAGAAGGCAGTGATTGCCATCCCTGGTGACTCCATCCCTCCGGCTGTCCCCTCGGGGCAGCCGTCCCCTTGTGCTTTTCCAGCGGTTGGGACAAAAGCCACCGCAGCCTTTTGGTAGTGAGGGTACAAGGAAAGGGGACGTGCTCTGCTCGGGGTCTGGCCTGAGCTGCAGGGCTGTAGTTCTCCCAGAAGCCGTGCTGGAGGGGTATGAGAGGGTCCCCTCACCTGGGGACAGTGGCCCTTTAGTGCTCGGTGCAGCAGGAGGGGACGGTGGCACTGGGTGGCTGTGGGCGAGTTTGGTCTCACTCCCCAGACCCCTGCAGCAGCTCCTCTGCAGGGATCACCAAGTGCTGTCCTAATGCTAATGGACTGAATCTTCATAAACCACCTGGGAAGCAGGTAAAGGTTGTTATCTTCATTTTGCAGAGAGAAAACCCTCAATGTCAAGAGGAGAGAAAGGTGTCATTTCCTCTGCCCTTTTGGCCATGACATTTTGGCGTTAACCTATTCCCAACAAGAGTTTCTCCCCTGATGGTACTTCTCAACCCTTCCCCTGAGCGTCTGCGCTCTCCTGGCCTGCTTGGAGCAATCATCATTTTTTAGCTTTTGTCTTAAGCTGTAAATAATTGAGTTTATCTTGCTGTTCCTGAAGCCGCTGTCATATTTGTTTGGAGGCCCCAAGCGCTGGAGTGTTTGTATTTAATTTGTCATCTCTCTCCTCTAATTCTGAACGTTTCCCTCCTGCCAGATGGACCAGCTGCTCCTGCGCTGGGTGGAAGGGCCAGGGTCAGGGTGTGATGCTCATGCCGTGGTCTCTGGGGGCTGGTAAAAAGGGTGAGGGGCACAGGAGATGTTTTCACCCCTGAAAGAGCAGGAGAGGGGCTGGGTGCCTGAGCGGGCGCGGGGATGGTCAACAGCAGCACTGAGTCTCAGTCGGAGGTGGAAATCCAGCTGTTTGTCCCCACTGCTTGTTGTGGGTTGTTCTGGGTCTGTGTCCTGGGGTACCGAGCCCCTGAGGCACCTCTGGGAAGAGGAGTGGGACAGGGCATCCCATCCAGCAGCTCCGCTCTGAGCCCTGGGCACCCACCTCTGCAGCTGCCTGAGGATAACTGAGAGCATGGACACCGGGTACTGAGCTGTCAGGGAGCCAGAAAAAATAAATCAGAGTTTTAAATGATATGTTGGATATCTGAGCAGGTACAGATGTGAGACAGAGGGACAGACCCCTGCCCCAGTCCGGGCGGCATCAGGCAGTGTGTCCTGCCTTCCACATTGCCAGCCAGAGAGGAACAATAAAGGAAAAGCAGAAGGATCTGAGTTGACTTGGGATAAGCTTTTGTTATCCAATATTACACAAACATAGCGACAGTTGTATATTATTGTGTCTTGGAGGCTGGAGTCAGGGCTGAAGGCTCTGTTGCACGGCGGGGTGCTTGCGTGCAGATGTGCCTGCCTGGAGTTCAAGGGCAGTGATAGCAGAGGTGCTGAGGAACGGGCTATCGGTGAGGTTCAGTCAGCAAGCTCTGGGAGCAAGGCTCGGTCATGCTGCCCAGGAATCCCCTCCGAGCGAGAGAAGGACCCTCCGCTCCTCTTCTTCTGCAAACAGCTCCTGGGGAGCAAGCAGAAGCCTCAAGGAGATTGTGAAAGAGTCTCTTCAGCCCAGTGGGATTTGAAACCTGCAAGACTTCCAGATGCTGCTCTCTGCAAGTGCGTTATTGTCTCCAGACCTATTTATCTCTGTTAGGGCCGTTGCCATAAATAGTATGATAAAAAAGAGCCATTCCAGCGAGTCAATGAGATAAAGGCTCCAGTCAAGAGCTCACTTTAAAGCTATCTTACAGACTCACTTAAACCTCAATAATTCTTCCGTTGGCAGCTTTCATATTTAGCTCCATTATATAAAAAAAAGGAAAAAGAACCCAAGAGGGTGAGGAGAACAGCCAGAGTGTTTGCTGGGGATCGCACGGGTGGTTTGGAAAGGGAGAGTGTAAAATCCACCTTTCTTAATCAAAAGCAAATGGCCTCGCAGGGGGGATGCGAGCCTGCTGTTTGGGAGCAGGAAGCCCTGGTTTTGCCAGGCGCTTGTCAGCCAGCCAGAGCAAGGTGTGCACGGAAAAACCCAGCCCCTGCGTGGGCAGGAGGTGTTCCTGCTGATGCGTGCGTGTGTCTGAGGCTGCCCGAGCCCCTCCACGGGGGAATGGGAAAACAAGGGGTTTGACAGCAGCACCTTGTTAATTCGAGTGACACGTACACTCGAGGGACTGTCAGGAGGGAGCTTGCTGGTGGCACGTGGGGCTGGTGACAGCACCTCCATCCCCTGACCTTTGCGCCACCGTTTGAAACAGGGTCCAGGATCAGCCACGAGTGAAAAGTGGTGAAGTTTGCTGATAGCTTGTTAAGACCATTAGCATCAAAAGGTCAAAATGTCATCTGTGCCCGGGGAGGGGGATTGGAAGAAAAGGATTTTCCCCAAATGACATAAAATAGGAGATCACTGAGGGATGCCAGTGCTGCAGCCTCTAATACCTGTCCCAAAACACTGATAATTCTTCCTTGGTTTCCTGGCGGGCACTTCTCTCCCTGCTAGAGGGAACTTAATTTCTCTCCACTCCAAGGACACCTGCAATAGAAAAATAGGGATAATGTGAAAACTGGCCAAAGCCCAGCCGCCAGAGAGGAGAGTCTCGTTCCCAGCCCTGCTGCAGTCCTCAGCTCCCGGAGAAGATAATGAATGAACTATGTGGTTTCGGTTAGAAAGGAGGAATCATCTTGTTACTGCCTGTTACTGCTTTATGGTTTAGTTTCCTCACAGCCAAGCCATGGGAATTGGCAGCTCTGGATTGTGCAGGCAGGACCAGGAATTGCTCCTGAGATACCTGTGCTTTGTCTTTCCTCCGACCACAGAACATTTGTCAGTGCTCTTTGGTCCTGACCTGGAGTCTCTGCTGGGTCCCGGTGCAGAACATCGCCCCTGGTCCTCCCTGGCCAAGGCTCTGCCCTGTGTTTAGCTCCCCAGCTGTAACACCTTGTGCTGTTTGACATCTTCCCTGGTTGCTGTGTGTGCTCTGATGTGTGCTGGTGTGTGGCAGGTGCTCCCCGAGGGACCACTGCGAGCGGGCGGACGAGCCGTACCGATTTGCCACCAGCATCGGCCAGTGCATCAGCATCACCGTGCAGCCCGGCAGCATCTCTGTCTCCGAGCACAGCCTCCCGGTAGGTGCTGCCGGCAGGCGGGGAGGGGTTACAGTTGTTGGTGAGAGGCATTTCCAGCATATTTCAGGCTCGAAGTGAACAGACCATCCTCCAGCCTCTCTCCCTGCCCATCGGCACAAGTGTTTTCCCATGAAGTCAGGCTCGCAGAGGGACAGGGCAGGAAAGGGGCCATCCGAGCCAGGGAAAGGGGGGGTGGGGATGGCAGAAACAAATTCCCCTTCCCCTTGGGCCTCAGCTCACATTTCTCTTGGTCTGGTTTCATGAGCTGTTGAAAGGAAAGGCTTTGTTTCCCAAAAAACCTCATCTGCGAGCTGTGCTCAGCCTGCCTCTCTGAAGCATCCCAGCTGCTGCTCTCCAAGCCCCAGCACCCGGGGCAGCTGGCCTCCTGCAGCCCCTTCCCGCTGGAGTGGCACGGGGCTGCTGGGAGGCCACACACCTCTTCGGGCACCAGTTTGCTGTGGGCACAGCCCCTGTTTGTGCTGGGGTCAGTGGGGACCTGCTCCTCTCTGATGGCCCCGAGCTGCCGGGCTGCTGCCGCTCAGGGACGTTGGAGCTCTGTGCATGCAGGGGGTTGTTGCTGCTCTCGTGGGTTCCTGACATGGGCATGGAGGGTGGGAATGCTTCTGGAGAGCAAACAGGGGGACAAAAAGCTGCCAAGGCCACCTCTCCAGAGCAGTACCCAGAAGCTCAGCATGGCGGTTTTGTATCCGCAAAGAGCCTGCATCCTTGGCTTGCTTTTCCCTCCTCCGCTTCCCATGAAAGGGCAGCTGGCTGCCTCCTGCGGGCGGGTAATTTCAGGGAGTCATATTGAATGGGAAAACAGCAGGCAATGAAAAATAGGAAAGGAACTCAGGCAGCTCTGCCTGCTAACAGGTTGCTGGCTGTGTTTTGTTCTCCCCGGCTGCAGCTCAGCTTGCTGGTGAGCGATGCTCCGGACCTGACAGCTGGGGTCACCTGCCTCTTCGGGAACCTGACGGAGGTGGAAGGGCAGGTTTCGGGCAGCCGGGTCGTGTGTGTTTCCCCAGCAGCGAAAGATGTTCCTGCCATACCTGTGGATCAGGGTAAGTAACCGACTTCTGGACAGCAATACAAAACATCTGTGCCACCAGAAAATGCAGTGTAGGTTTGGAAACACCCTTCAGCGCTGCTGCTGGACAAGTTTACATGCTCCTGTCCAAGACCGTTGACCCCAGGGAGCTAAATATGCTTTGTCCTTAAGAAATGCATCCTACATGGGGAAGGACAGGCTGGGGCAGGCAGCAGCACAAGTGTTCCCTGTCCTTACATTGTTCCTGTGCTGCCAGACAGCTCCCCAGGACAAGACCCGAGCCGTCTATCCCCCCCAGGACCCCTCCCCTCAGCCTGGCTCAGCACCCATGAGTAGGTGGATGCAGTTTCTATTTTTCAGTCCTGATCTTTGTGTGTTGTTTCTTCATTAATGTCACTGCTGTCATATTTTCTCTTCCCATAGCCAAAATGCTACTTGCTTAAAACTCATTTTCTCCTTGGCATCCTTCCAGGTGTCAGCTGTGCTTCCCTGCCAATATCTTTGTATTTCTAAGGCATGATGTGGAGCCTGAGCCTGGGTGAACACTGGGGGCTGAGAGCCGCTGCGGTAGCAGGGCTAGCGTGGACTTACCCACAGCAGCTTGGGAAAAATCTGCTCTTGATTAACCCAGTGCCCAGGCTCCTAAAGAGCTTCACTAGTGTCCCTGCTTCCAGCATTGTCTCCTGTTCTAGTCTTGGGCTGCTTCTCAGAGCAGACTGGATTAGGGTTTTTCTACTGGAGACAGAATCCTTTAGAGAGCAGCCTGACATCCCAAACTCATTTCAGTGCGACGCATGGCAGCGTTTTAGACCCCGTGTCTCTGATACACTTTGCCATCAGGGATAACTGGGTTTGGAGGCATGGCTGGATGCGGCCAGCCCGAGGACAAGGTCCAGCCAGGGCGATGCTCAGCCCCCAGCTTGGGGAACCGCTGCAGACTAACTGTGGGTGGGGGTCCTGATGGCCAGGGGAGCAGGGAGATGAAAGCAACCCAACTTCCCCCTTCTACCCCAGAAGCAGCTGGCTCAGCACGCTGGCAGGCGGGGAGCGGGTGCCCCCGCGTCTGCTGTTGTTTCCTTCGTTGCTGCTGGCGGGACTGACGGGCTCTGGTTTGCATCCCCAGACTGGTTCGGCGTGGTGCTGCAGCTGAAGTCGCAGGAGACGGGGAGGACGTTTGTCAGCACGGAGTTCAAGTTCTACAACTGCAGTGCCCACCAGCTGTGAGTGCTCCTTCCCCATCCCCGACCAGAGCCAAACACCAGCTGAAATGAGAACGGGCTGGGAGATGGGCTCTGGAACCAGCCGGGGGGTGGTGATGCTGCTTGGTTCAGCCAGCAGACACGGGCGGTAGGAGGGGAGCCCACCAGCCCCTGTCTTCTCTCAACTTCTCTGAGTGTGTGTGTAGCTTCCTCTGCCTTGGGAGACACAGGCGGAGTGAGCCTGAGAAAACCTGAGCCTGAGCCTGAAAAAACCTTAACCTGCTGGTGCCCCCAAGCTGCGCGATCCCGCAACTGTGAACTCAGCTCATCTGCACAGGCAGGGGGGAGGCAGAGCAGAGGGTCTGGGCAGGGGGGCTGCAGGCAGCGGGGGACAGAAATGGGTCAAACAAATGAGTAATTAAAGACGCTTGCAGCACTTGATATTAGTCCCAAGATTTGCATATGCATGGTTAGAATAAGCTTCCTTAGCTATTAAGGTCACTACGAGTGTTTCAGAAGGAGAATACAATGGAGTTATTGAAACAGGCACGCGAGAGGCATTGCCCCAGCACCTCTGCCCAGCTGGCGAGAGAGGCTCTGCCCAGAGACCTGCTTTCCTCGTTTTCCAGAGTTTCCCACCTAAGGCCACGCTTCCCTGGCGATGCTTGTCTGCCTGCGCTGACCCTGCGCTCGCTCCGGCGCATCCCTGGGGCAGCACCGCGGTCCCCGAGCCACAGGTTATGACACGGAGCTGAATCCCCTGGGCACAGCTTAGGCTTGTGCCAGCAGACAGGCACCAAAACACTGCCACGTGGCACGGAGGGGTGGCTCAGAGCTGGAGGAGGTGGTTACTGCAGATACCAGCAGCGGTCATGGACCATGCGTCTGACGGGCAGCCGGTTAGTGTGGAGTAAAAACCACCCAGCGAGCTCGCTGGCAGCGGGGCCACCCCGTGTCTGAAAAGGGTCTGCCTTCTTTCACAAACATTTCATAAACAGTTAATTTCTGCCAACGTGAATCAAAAGCACTTGCTGGGCTCTCTGCGCTCCGAGGCCAAGCAGAAGTGTTACCGTTGACTTGAAGCATTCCTGACTGGTAAAATAACTGATCCCATTTTTGCCAGGCTTGTCTCCTTTTCCACTTAGTAGAAACTAAAAAGCAAGTCTGGTGCCTGTGCAATATTGTGCTTTATTTTACGCGCCAATGCAATGATGTGCAATAAATCCCAGCGTGTATTCTACTACTGAATGAATTGTGAGGTTGCTCAAAGACTCTTGGGTGTGTGTTTTCCCAAACCTGTTTGTTACAAAACATTCCTCCAAAGAATTTGTTTTCCCATGAAGGATGCTGAGCCTGGACTGATGGCTAGGTCTGTCTGTTAGTGAATAGACCTCCCAAGGTGATAACCTCCTCCATAACTCCTCCTTTCTCCCCCAGGTGCCTGTCTTGTGTGAACAGCGCCTTCCGCTGCCACTGGTGCAAGTACCGGAACCTCTGCACCCACGACCCCACCACCTGCTCCTTCCAGGAGGGACGGATCAACGTCTCTGAGGTACTGGACCAGGGTTTCAGCTCTTTGCTTTTCTATGGCACCATTAGCATCACCAATGCTTATGTGAAGTTTTTTGACTTTCCGTGGGTCAGGGCTCCTCTCCTGACTGTCAGCGAAAAGTGCAGATGCAGCTTCAAAGGAGCGTAGCAAGAAAATGTCGGTCTAGCAAAGCGCTGTGTCCTGACCTGATCCCACCGCTGAGATGCTGTAATGTTTTCCTGCAGGGGTCTCAAAGACTTCTCAAAGTCCAGCGCATTTCAGCAACTCCGCTTTACATACAAGGTGTGCAAGGATTTGCCCCACGGCAAGCAGCAAGTCAGATGCAGAGCTCTTGGTGGGACTCATTGAGTGGGTTGTGTTGGCAGGACTGAAATCTGTGGCAGGAACCTGACTGTAAACTGATTAAGAAGGGAATTACAGACGTGAACAGCCCCAGACTTTGGAGAAGAGAGTCGATTCAGGTTCCAGCGCTGTGGACCCGGAGCCATCTCTCTTAGCAGTTAATAAAAGGTGTGGGGCTCAGGTCCAAAAATGCTTTTAGCAGTTGGAAGGAGGCACAGCCCGTTAACGGCTCTGCCAGCTCTCCTGCATGTCCTGAGGCGGAGGGATCCATGGAGGAAAGGAGTTTGTTAGCAGAAAGTCTTGATCAAAGGTTACCACTAACCCCCTGGTCTGGGTTTCTGCACCTGTTGTCGTGTCCAATTCCCATGCTGCTGTCTGCTTCAGGGTCACCAAGGACAGAGCAGATACAGCCTCCGATGCTGGCAGGCTCTTGGTCTTTGCCCTTACTCCTCCTACGCGTAGCTTTCTGGCACCTGAAATGGGTGCAGGTCTAAAGCTGCAAGGGAAAAAAAAAGAAAAATCAAAATCCCGCGTGTCTTGGAAAGTGGCAAAGGCAGCAGTGAGGACATATACAAATATTAGAAAAAGAAAGGAGAGTAAGGTTAACCAGCATCAAGACAAAGCCTTATCAGTGAGTGATGGAGATGGAGAAAAGCAGCAGAGATCAGGCAGAAGAGCCCTTAAAAAGAAGTGACTGGAGCTGCCAGGCTGCTGCTAAACCATCAGTCAACTTGAAACTTAACTCATGGATCTATCTGGTTAAAATGCTGCCAGGAGGCACCTAGACACAAGGCAGGAAAGGTTAATGAACTGCATGTGTACGTCCATCAGTGGGAATCCACAGGAGCCCAGGGATGGACAGCAGAACTGGGAGCTGGCACTGCCCCACCCAGCAAAGGGAATGGAGGAGAAGCATCCACCCTGGGGACAAGGCAAAAGCTTTGTCAGTCCAGTTCCAAGTCAAGAAACTTCCTTTCAACATCACAAGAGAAAGCAAAAACCTTTGCTTTTCCTTCTCTGGAGTGATGTGGGGGTTTTCTCCTTCACACTCAAAGCATTGGTGTCTTCCCAGGCTTTACAGTTGTAGTTCTCGGTTTTACAGGTCTTCAACCCCATGATCTCAGAAGTGTTTGACAAGTCTCTGGTAAAGTAGGACAATCCCATTATCCCCGGTTTTCTCCTGGGAAGGCACAGGACTTGCCTGAGATCACACAGAGGGAGCGAATGGAGGAGTTGGTGTCTCTGCCAGTTCCTGCTGGGATCACAGGACTGTCGCGTCTCCAAAGAACTTCTTCTGTTGTCTTCGTCTTGTAGAGGTGGTTTCTTAGAAGGGGCTGTTACGTGGTATCTGACCCCTTCCTGGTGATGGTGTTTGATAAGGGCTGATGATAGCGATGCAGATGCTCCGCTGTTCATCCTGACTTCTCCAGACCTCAGAGCCAGCCACCAAGCCCTGTTTTTGTGTTTTGTTTTTTTTTGCGTATTTAAGGCGAATGAATTGCCGCTTGCGCACCCAGTGCAGTGCTAATGCCTTTATTGCGGGCATTTCACTCTGGCTAACGCGAGACAGCAAATAAATGCCTCGTAAACAGTTTCCTCTCTTAAAACAATTCAGGTCACAATGTTCTCATTGTGTCATGGCCTGATCTATTAGCAAAAGGTTTGTGCTTACCAACACCGCTGCCTTCCTCGCAGAAAATCCGTTGTGTTGGGAGAATAATGGGTTCCCATGAGTGACGGGGACCGTAATTTATATCATTGGGAGCAAACTGTGAGCCAGGGGTTTACGTTCATGTGCCAGATTCATTTATGTTTATAGTTTTAAAATATCTGCAGCAAGTTAACGTTTGTGGAGCGTGAGTTTTTCTAAAAGTGCAAAAACATTATATTTTTTTCCATTTGGGCTAAATCCCAAAGTCAGAAGAAATGCCTGCCATTTCAGGGCATTTTTTTTCCAAATAAGAGCAAGAAGATTTGACCTACTAAAGCTGCTCTGTTAAACACAAATAATAACCATGGGTGCTCTGTCTGCTCCAGACACAGATGCATATCATGAGTCTTTAAGATATTTATAGACCTTGGAATCTTTGAGGCTAAAAAGTGTTGGAGAAGCATAAAATGTCTTTGTAAATTGTGTGCGATGCTACTTCATAGGCAGAATATTCCCCGAGAGCCTGTGCCACTCACGCGTCGGAGTCTTGTCTTCCTCCAGCAGATCTTCTGATTTGTGTTTATCCTGGTGCACAGGAGTCAAGAAGGATAATGAGAGGATTCGGCGGGTGTTTGTTTAGCGAGAGGAGGCAGTAATGGCCTTTGTAACTCACTGCAGGATTTACTTCTCATGAATTAAAAAACAAAGTAAACTGATTATGGAACAAATTGTAGATTCCACTGGCTGCAGCCTCCCTTTTATTCCGTGTTTTCTGGATGCTCGGCTCTTCCTGGCACTGGCACGGGGAAGTGCAGTGTTGAGCACCGGACCAGAGCCCTGCAAACGGGGAGGAGGGGGCTGCCCGAGCAAGCCCCGCGCCCTCCGCAAGCCCCTGCAGCTCCTGCAGCTCCACTCGCTCGTCTGATACATTCAGCAGCAACTGCCGGCGGTGAGGTGGGTCCCCGCGAGTGCCCGGGGCTTTCCGTAGTGCGGCATCTTCCTGCATATCGCTCCATCCGAAAATGGATGTCCCCTTATTAGTGTGATCACCGGAGCTGTCAGCCAGCACAGAGGCACTGCCTTGCCCGGTGTTTCCCCGAGCAGCGTGCACTCACGGACTGCGTGCCTTTTTTTCACCAAAATCACAATGTGACATTTTTCTCCCATTGAAACCAAAGGAAGAAAAATCTTTGCTGTCCTGCTCGTCTCTAATGACGGCAGAACAATCTTTGCTACCAGCATTTTCAGCTCTAGAGAGAAGATTTCAAAGCGTGAGTCCTCTCCTGTAGCTCTAAAGGAAGAAGGATTTCTTTAACAGTCGCCTCACGAATGGCAGTGGCCAGGAAGGATAATGGTCCATAACGTATTCATTATTCTCAGGACTGTGCGCTGAGGTTCTCCCACTGGTGATGTGACTGAAGATTTTTTTGTTTTCCATCATAATGTGATAAAAGATTCTACAGCTCCAGGATGTATTTTCTCCCAAGCACGGGCTTTCCGCAGAGCTTGGGACCGCTCGGAGTGGAGCCGTTTGTCTCCTGTTGGTCCTCGATGTGACTCTGAGGTTAAATGCAAAACCTTAAATGTGGCCAGATCTCAGCAGAGGTGTTACAGGGAGGAAGGAACATGTGTGCACAGCCAGCTCGGAAGAAAAATAGTTGGATGGAGAATGAATTTTAGGAGTTTGGTGGTGGTGGTGTAAAGGCTGAGCTGGGGCTGGATCTGTGATCCCAGGGATTGCAGGAGCCTCGGAGCTCAGCTGCACATCAGCGTTCCCTTCCAGCCTGTGACCCTGCTCCGCTGCAGAAAAGGGCTTTTCTTTCTCTCCCCACTTTCTGGCTGTCAGAGTTTAAAATCACTCTTGGCTGTTAATCCGTGAAAGTCTCTGTTAGAAATAAAATAAAAAATATATAAGGAAAAGTGCCACTAAAAAGGTTTACGAGGCAGCAGTTTAAGCTACTGGCTTCTCCAAACCAGGGTAGCATCTGTTTCTCATTTACAACTTGCCTGAGCCAGTAGCGAAACACCGTCCCACTGGTCTGGCTGGGAGCTGGAGAGGGAGCGCGGCTTGGCGAGCGCCACGGCCGTTAGCGAGCGATGGGGATTTTCTCCCTGGATGCACAGTCCGAGCAGCAGCCCGGAGAGGATGGCTCTCGTTGCATTGCCATCCGGGTGATTTACTTTAATTTCGAGGTAGGATGGCAAAGGGATTGGGATGCCAGTCTGGGATTTGGCAGAGGGAAGGGAGATGTCCATCCATGTTTTTTTTTTCTAAAACTTCTGCTTTAGCTTGGGATTAATCATTTAGTGTCAGATACTTACAGGTACTTAGGTACCTGGCTCCATTAGATCAAAGCAAATTAGAGCTGAGCAGAATGCAAATACTTCTGACGGTCAGAGGCTCTGTCTCTGCGTGTTGCAGTTCCCGGTATATAAATGGAGGAAAAACTGTATCTCCCAGTGTGTTATGAAGAGATAATGTTCAGGATGTTGAGATCTTACGGGAGGAATGTCATACAGTTACCAGGCACCAGTAGGTCTTTTTCTGTGGCTCATCTCAGAGTTTCATTTAGACGTCTAAAACCCACCGCAAGCTTGGAGCAGGCAGGACACCTTCGATTTATCCCCCGAACAGCGGTGTTCCTTCTTCTGCTAATGCGGTGAGAAAATCAGCGCCAGTCCCGGAGCAGGGGGACTACAATGAAGGTTTTGTTATTTCTGCATTTACCCTGTGGCTGCACGGCTGGACCGAGAGTTGCTGGTCCTGCTGAGGATGCGCTGGGACCCC